AACGTTAATAATCCCACCTAAATATCTCCAAGTCAAAAAAGAATTGCCTGAACCTCTTAAAATCGGAAGAAATCTTGCCCGATTCGGCTCACGTCCTCGAAAATACAATTTGACAATTATCTCGGAAGCGGCGAAGAAAAACAGAAGGGGTGGCTAGGTAAATTGACCCTCGACGAAAACAATTCGCTTTCTTTCTTTGCCAAGTTTCCACGCGAATTGGCGGTAGCGCGTAGTCGTGTGCACGATCTTTGCAACGCGGTTCGTTTCTTTGCAAGAACGTGGGAAGGAGGGAGGGTAGGAGTAGCGGAAATACAAGCTAAAAGGGATGGAAGGTGGTTTACGTGAAGGGAGGAATCTCGTAGCGAGAAACCAGTCCAGGTACGACGATGTTGCAACTTGAGCAGGCCGAGACGAGACGAGAGGGTAGAAGGGTGACGCCAGTCCGTGATCTAATTTGCAATGCAATCTAGAATAACAATGGTCGCGAAACGGGAGGGCGGACCGACCTGGGTTGCTTCGACGAGCCGACAGAACCCGCAACTGGCAACTTTCTCGAACGACCTTCGTTCCACGGGGTTTCGGGGCTAATCCACCATGGCGAGATTTCACGGGTTAGCCGGGAAAATGCCTGGGATACGATGGTTCAGTGAAACCACCCAGGGATAGCATCGATTTGAGAAGCTTCGTTACTCAACCATTGGAGTCTTTTCAATTCAGTCTACGATTCCGGTTGGATGGTTTTGTGTTCCAACAATTAACGAAGTTCTGTACAAGTATACGTTTCTCGTTCGTGAGTTCTTCCTGTGAACCTAAGTGTGTCCTAAGTGAAAATAAAAACGATTTATTAGGCTCAGAGATGTACGCAAAACTTTAAAAAATAAGTGAAACGTCGATCAAAGTCCGAGAGAGGTACGTGTGATAAAGAAAACAAACGATATCTCGATATTACGATGAGCAATATTTCGAAAGTTTCGAAGGGAGTGAAAAGGTACGTGCAGATTTAGCTCGGAATTTCGATAAAGAGGAAATCTTAGTAATTTGCAAGTGAATTTTAACGTGAACATAATTCATCTTTTCCTTCCTCGATCATCTTCCGCTAACTAGATTACCAACGTACCTGTAATTTTCCAAGTATTCCCTAAACCATTCAACCAACATGAAATTTCGTCCGGCTCTGCAAACTTCCATATAAATTGCCACGTGCGTGAAGATTTAAGCGCGTCACGTGTCACGGCGCGGCGCGATGCGGCGTTTCGGTTAAATCGATCGAGGTCTCCACCGGTGGCCATTTGCCTGGTCCCGAGCTTCAACCGAAAATTTATCGACTAATTTCTATTTACGTGTACGAGTTCGCGGTCGTAAGCATACCGAGGCGAATGGTAGATCGATAACGTCTAGCGTCGGCGACGCAACGACGACAACGACAACAGTCCTCGGAGGCAAACAATACGTCCCGTGTCCCGGAAGTCCGACGTCAGGGACATAAGCACGTCGTAGCGCGAGACAAATCGAATCAGGGACGTTCCCTCTCTATCCGTTCCACTTCCTCTTTCTCTCTCTCTCTCTCTCTCTTTCTCACGAGCTTTCTCTTTTCCTTCCGTGTTTCCGACGTTGATGTTATCAGCTCTTGTCGCGTCTGCTGCAAATAAATCTTTTGTGCAAGCGACGACGAAGGACCGCTTCTCTCCTTCGCTTCGGGGAAAAAAGGTTGCGGTATGACCTGGAGGAAATAGAAAGGAGGGGAGTTTCGTCGGTACCAGTTGAACAGATGGAACAAAGCGAAGGAAGAGAAGCGGGCGAGGATTTAAGAAAAGAAAGGGAAAAGGGCGTATAGCGTTTAGGTATTGATTATCGATGAGAAGACTTCAAGGTTGAAACTCAAGACTGCATGGGTTAATTGGCTTACTGCAAATTGTGCGTTGAATGGTCTTTGCAAACGTTGGCATGCAGTTTGTCGAAAGATCTCTTGTACTGCTCTTGTACTTTGAATAATAACGGGGTTAGCGATGTCGATTTTCTCTTACGGTAAACAAATTGGATGGTATTTATGAATCGATGGAATTTCAAGCGCAATGATTCACCGTTGATCGCAAATCTCATCTCGCGTGTTAAAAATTCTGGAAATAAGAGATGTCAGAAGATTGACGATTCTTTCATCGAAATGAACTACTTCGAGCAAACGTAGTGCAAAGTACGACTTTTCAAGTTTAAAATCAGTCAACAAGTTGCAGAGGGTGAAGTTTCGACTATCCCTTAGCATTGTCACAAAATCAAACATCACAGGCAATTTTTGTATTTTTTCCTTTCTAATTCGTAGTAAATAATACGATATAAACAAATAAACAGGTAAAATCGAAATATAATATTTGCCGGTGTTCTAGTAAGCCAGTGATATATAATATATCCACGAGAATAGCATTTTTCGATCGGACGTACGTGCTCGGATCGCCAAAACATCCAGGACTAGCGCGATGGAAATCGTTCCTGAAATTCGTTACACAATTCTGGAAATATGAGAGTCGATTTAGAAAGCCTGGATGCTCCAGGACAACCGTGCAGTCTACTGCGAATAAATCGTTCGCGGAAGCGACGCGACGCGACACGACCGGTGAACAGAGAGAAGAAGAACCTCTGCCAAGGGGAAACCTTGAGGAAAGGAAAGTCTCGTCTGGAGGAGAACAAAGGTGAAAAAGAACAAAGCGGCGGTAGAGAAAAAGTCTGAACAGGGAAAGCGAGAGAGGTGGGGGAGGGTAGAGGAAGAGGGAGAGAAAGGGAAGAAAGAAAGAGGCGGAGAAAGAGAAGGCACGGAATGTGGGCGCGAGAACTGTGGTCTGGTTTTCCAGACGGCTACCGAGAGGAAAACATGTGGGTTAGATAGGCGCAGCTGCGCTACCATCCCGACCGAGATTAGATATCAGCAGCTTTTTTCCAGACAGCCTTCGACGTTCCACGAATCGCGTAATAATCTCGCCGAAGGTCGACGACGCTCGCGAAATACCTTCGCCAAATGGGAAATTGTATTTGTCGATGGAAGAAAATTGTATTGGGTGTAAAATTAGCCACGTGTCGACCCATTGGCGCGTTAATTGCCATGATAGTGAACGCTGAAGCTTATTGAAATAGATTTACAAAGTCATCGATACGAAACGCTTAAAAATTGCCGAAGAAGAAGTGCGCAAATATGATTTTATATTTGTGTAATATTTGGGGAAAATTAAACGATGCGGCGTAGTATATTTTTCGATCTATCGCGACTCCCATGGAAAAACGTATGAAATTCGAATAGCAGCGAACGTGTTAAGAATGAGCGTATAAAACGCAGCTTGAGTAAAAATGCAGTGTTATTAAAAAAATTTACATCGAGTATAAGTTACTGCCCTATCAAAGTATGAGAAATGTATTGAGATTACGGATACATTAGAGAAACCCATTATACAAATTGAAAACCCATTATACGATCGCCGTTGTTGATTAATAGTTAGATTTATGACCTCATTACTCACTTATCTCACTTAATCTCACTTATCGCTTATCGTTTGTATTCCTATCGGCCGTTAATTTTCTTTAATTTCTATCTAAACGAAAGAGATCCAAAGAGGAGAATAAAGAAATTTCGATATCCAACAAATTTAGCATCCTAATGACGAATTAATTCGCCCTTCTCGGTTAACAGGTTAATAGATTGCGGATTGCCGTTATTCTCACAATTATCAAGCTGCAAGCTACGTTGAATATATGGTTAATATTTACTAGAGCGAGTAATAACTTCTTACGTGTATCTTAAGCATCGTAAGATCGACTTATTGTATAAAAATATTCTATGCATTATTGATTGATTTATGAAGTGTACAGTCCGCGAATTTAAAATGCAGAACATGTTCTATAGTGTTAAGATTGCTGAAGCAAGTTAATTAACCAAGAAAATAGAATTATATAAAGTTGTTCAAAGCGTATAATTCACTCGCGGTGAAGCTGAAGTTTGCTTCGAGATATCGTAAATCATGAATGTGAGTGACGTTTTTCAAAGAGCATCGATTATATTAGGAGTAATAGTTGTTAGATCACCGCTGGATATTTATACGCCTGATCGTATCGATAATGGAATATTGTAAATTCATAATGCAGTAGCGGGGAACTCTAAGTCAAACGATAACAAGATGATAGAAGATACGGTTCTCTCTGATGATAAACATTTCATTCACTGAAACGTTGATTTTTGACCTGATTCGCGACCATTATCGTCATCCCTCCAACTGTGTCTTATATTTAGTTGAAAGCATTTAAACGAAAAATGAGGTGAAATTGTAATAGAATCGTGTAATCATTTAACATAATAATTCTATAGACATGTAACTTGCAGTCAGCTTGTTATTTAATTAAAGTAAGTTTCTTGGATTGAGAATTTCAGGATGTAAAGGAACATCTTCAGTCTTGATCGTATACATACATACATACATACATACATATATTAAATATTACTCGAATTTTTAATTACGTTAATATTGTATGTATTTAGAACTGGACGATATTCAAGTTTTTGATTAAAAGTAATAATAAAATACAATTACAGCTATGGATTAATAAAAAAGTAAATATATCCTAAATATACATATTTGTTCTAACTTTTATCGGCGTAAACTCAAAATAACTCAAGTTTCAATCTAAATCATCGCGTTGCATATATGTAACGTGAATATTTTTCTTTTCTACAAGGACTTTCTCTTATTTGAAGTGATTTTGTAGATATCTTAATGTTATAATCACAAATCGAACGACATTCTAGTTTTACATTGAAAATAAAAATATTTCAAGATTTATAGTCTCTTCTCTAAATGTCCCGATATTATATAAAAAAAAAAAAAAAAAAGGACTCACCGGTTTGCCAGGACGAGTGCGATTATCACTGTTCAAAATGAATTCATAGCTATCTTAATATCGTAAAATTACGTGTTTACATATGGATAAAAAAGATAAAAAGCGATGGAGAAGAACTCACGCACCGGTGTGCCAGGGTGACGGTGGTGATCCTGCAGCAGGAGACGTCGTTGATGCGACGCTGGGAGTTCCTCACGATGATGATGGTGATGGCGGTGATGATGTTGCCGATGGTGATGCAAGATCGAGGCGGAGGCTGGCTCGTGCAGTAGCAGTCGACGATGATGAAGATGATGAGATACCGTCGCCAGGACACCCACCAGTGCCCCGACTATCAAGACGAGCACCACTGACAGTATGTAGCTACTCGCGTTCACTGTCAACAGAAATTTCTAATTGAAAATTCGAACCTCTAACTGTCTAATTTTCTATGGAAATAATAATAATTTACGACAATAGATTACGGATATTTATTGAAAATGTATATTTTTACGAATATCGTTAGAGAAATGAATCGTAAATAGAAATTTTAATATTTTATGTATTTTTTTCTTTTTGTTTTTTTATATCACGTGTACTGTGTAAATTTGTGTAACTTTATACTCCCCATAGACGTATAAAAATTGGCAGTTTAATCGCAGAATAATTGACTCTTAATCTCCAGCTAAAAATGATCCTTTTATATTTATAACATTTTCTGTGATTGTCCTTTCTTAAATATTAGTATTTTGCCCAACATCTACGGTATTTTCCAGAGATTGATAGTGCAAAAGTCGCTTTTCTTTTCGATGTTTACCACATTCATTGTCGTTATCCATACTGTATACGTATATGTATACTAATACTAATAAATATGAATTATCATTCACTGATTATTAAATTACTAACTTTTGCACGGAATATATCGAATTAATTAAGAATTTTATTACGAAAGTTTCTTTCTCAGAACTCGTGATTGTTATCCGCATACGAATCGGTATGAAACAAACATTTATTATTAACGTATGACGAAATACACGCGGTGTACGTGTACTCGACATTCTTAATTATCGAATTTTTATATGTTGCATATTATCGTAAAATTAGTAAGATTTCTAAAGATTTCAACGGCACAGTCGTTAGAACGAAAACTAAACGACCAATGGTATACTTGTTCACCCGAGAAACGAATAGTCTACGTCGTAATCAGTATGACAGCGATAAGTGATAAGCGTTTTTTCTTCCACGGTAACGTTTCTTCCCAGGCCGTTTCCTGGGGGATCTAGAAGTTGTTTGGTGAAATATCACTCGAGATAAGTGTGACTCTAGAAAATGATATCGGGATGCACTGGTAGAGTAAACTAGAGCGAACGAGTGACTTTATTTCTATGAAATTTATCGAGAAACGTTCGTATTTTCATTAAATATATTTATTACGTATGTAGTTCCTGTTTACTGTAACTTTATCAATTTCTGGTATTTATTCATCAGGCGAAAATAAACAGTAATATTTTTATACAATTGCAGATGGTAAACGAAACTGTTTTATATTTTGTCTACGCTTATGTTTGTCTTCATTTTTATAAAATACAATTTTTTATCGCAATTCTTTGATTTCCCTCAGTTCGAAAGTTCACGAAGAAAAGTAATAACAAGCGATGTTGATCGTGTATCAAGTAGATTCGAAATCTAAATCATAGTGACATTAACGGAGAACATTCGATCTGTGGTGGACACTAAACGCGTTGAATTGTTTAATAACGAGACGAGTGAACAATTGCGATGGTCAGATATACTAAAAATCATTCTAAGTAGAAAATAAAGAGTTAGTATATTATCTTATAATCGTTGCTCGCACGATGCTACGCTTGATAGACTGCTATACTATTAGCTTCGCTACAATGATACTGGTTATGAACGGACCAGAGAGCATGTTCGTCTATTTATACAGGTCGGGGAAGGAGTAGCGGAAAGTTTGTATTAAATTTCGTTTACACATAACGATGATATTGTTTCGTCCGTAGTTTGTTTACTTTTAAATCTTGCATTGGGTTGCCAACTAAGTGATTGTAGGTTTTGTCATTAAGTGCTATTGACAGTGCAACTCATAGAAACGGCGTTGATACTCGCAGGCAAAACAACATGAGTTACCCTCGATGCGAATCGTCTCATGACTCATGTGCCGCTTCAGATCTAAACAAATCTCATTTCTCCAAGAAGAATCATTTCCAAAAATCATGAAAGATCCTCATATAGACCGAGTCCTACTTGTTCCTTCAAAATCACACTATTTGCTGTTTAATCGCGAATTATCGCGAATAAAAGGAACATCGCGTAAGACGCTCGATAAATACAATGGCAGTCTGACGAAGCTGAAGTATGCGTGAACGAATTCCATTCTGAAGAATTATTCAAACAGACGTACAGCCAAAGCTTTTCAACAGAGCCGTAGCGTGGTCGTTGGCGCGACAACGTAGTAGCAAAAGGTATCGACTAACTTGCCGCTCTCAGTCAATTTCGTACGTGATGCGTGAAAAAGACTCAGAGGCAGCAAATTTCAACCTGGGGAGTTTCCATGTTCCGGGACCAGGGTCCTTTCCCCATTCACGAAATGTACGGTGCTGGAAAATTTCTTATAGTCTGGCTCAGCGTCCTGCGCTCAACATCTCAGGTAGCTTTGTTTCCATGCACGAAATATCGCGAAATTATACAGAGTGGATAGTACAGAGTTCTACATACTTGCAAACATACACAGTGGTTATAAAAAATATTTGCATAAACTATTATTTTCCAACCAAGCAGTGTTCTATTGTCACGTCCCGCGCTGCGCTCGCGCGCGTAAAACTACCAATAGCGCGAGTGAGCGTTCCAATTTGAAATTTAAATAAATTTTAACAATTTGTATAGAAACCAAATTCGAACCTCACAACCCCCACGGAATAACCCGGCATATGACGATCCCTCCACGGTAGACCTAAATATAAATAAGCGTAACGACATAGAAGATGCGAAATAATTCTTTAGTTTTAGAGTAGTTAATTCCTCAGTTTTGTGCGATTAGTTTTCTCAGTTCTTGGTGATTAACTCCTTGGTTCATGGAGATCAGTTCCCATTTCTTGGCAAGTAATTTCTTGTTCATAGCGATTAATTCTTAATTCCTCTAGCTCTTAATATCTCAATTCCTTTGCTTTTTTTTTTATTCTTTAGTTCCTTAGTTTTCAGCTCTTAATTCCTTTAGCTCTTAGTTTCGCTCTCAGCTTTTAGGTTCTTTAGTCCTTTAGTTCTTTGGCGTTTAGTTCTTTGTTTTATTAGTTCCCAATTCTTGTTAGTCTTGTTAATCGACGTGTTTGTATTTGTCAATTTGTAAACTATCGAAAATCTACCGAAATTAAAATCTTGTAATTAATAAGAGCGAAAACGTATTGCGAACGATCGTAACTCCGAGCATTCGAAATTTCAACTACCATTCTGTCAATATTCAATTAGAATAAGAATAAACATTTTTTTTTTGTGAAGATTTGTTTAATAATATAATAGGATCAAGCGAACATTTATTTTCACCAACTTTAATCCTCTCCCGTGCCAGTACTCCTGTGTATAGCAGATTAGCCGAAACGACGATACTACAATTTAATCTAAATTCAAAAATTAACAGCAACGCAACCAAAACGAGCCAGACAAAGCGTAACACTATCAAATTCTATTACACATTTCATTTCCATGGATTGAAACTTTTCTACTCGTACGAAAGTATGTACATCATGTCTAAGATACATATGCATATACATGTACATATATAATCGCGATACGTCAAAGTATAAGTATAATTGATGCTGTCGTCTCTCGTCAGCCTTCCGACGACGTTCTCCAGGATCAAATTAATAAAATTCGTTCTATTTTCTGCTCTAACCTTTGCAACATCTTTGTCTTGTAATCATGAGAAGGGCAAGGTGCAAGATGGATAAAAAGGGAGCGGCGATACTCGGTAAACGACTCGCACACGGTCGTAACTCGCCGTGTACCTAAAGAGGTGAGCCAGAAACTATGTGTATATGTATATGTGTTTGTATAGGTGTGTGTGTTTATACGAGGACGTGGCAGTCGCGATTGGTGCGACAGGATGAGACACGACCATAAAACCTTATCAACGTTCATCATCGCCGGTTCAACGGTTTGAACTGCTCGTCACCCAGGCGCTCGTTAAACGCTCTACGAGTCGCGACGGTGCAGCACCCCGTGGCCTCGTGGTCACGTCGAGACGCTCGGCAACGGACGACGAAAAAAAGCAGGCAGAAGAGGGCGAAAAGAGGTCCCTGACCCTGGCTGAAACTTGGCCGAAACGGTCGTGCACCAGTCGCTATGCCCGTGGACGTGGACAAAGGACTCTCGAGTACCGACGCTGAAAACTCGCTGGAGCGGAGATCTCTCCGACAACGAAGTTGCTTCGCCAATTTTTACGTGGCATTCACTATGCTACGTAGTCGTATCCAACAACAAGGTTTTAGGATCACGGCGAAAAGTCATACGTTATAGACGAAGGGAATCCTTTTCTCATCTCACGACACGCATATACTAATTATTTTTTAATTAAAATTCTGCGGCACACTAAAGAACATACTATATTCGCTTCGAGTTAGGACATTCACGCCGTGAATGGGCGACTATTGTAGCTTTTTATTTGACAATGTAAGAGAAGAGAAGGCAGTAAGTCAATAGTCAGGTACTACGCGTTGTAAAAATTCTTGCGGCGCACCGGCACTGAAAATCGCTGAGTTATAGAAAATTATTTGCCTAGGAGTAGTATTTTCTTCTTGGATCTTAGGAGAAGTCCAGTGTTGTTGCGAGCAACGCTCGAGGTAGGGAACGAAAATTAGATAGAAAATTGTAAGTAAGAAGATCGCTAGTTTCGCCTTATTCCTAGAAATCGTCTTGGTAACTAGCGTTTTGAACGGGGCAACGTGAATCACGGTAGCCATTCAGAATCACATACTGCGGTAAACATGCATTAACTGAAGAAATAACAAGGCTAATTAAGAAGACGCAAGAAGGAGAAATATTTAGAATATCTCAACCCTCGTAATTTACAATTACGTATCTAAAAGTATAGTCTAAAAATAGGACGTCGAAGCAAAGATACCTCGGTCCCTATTACCTTCACCACACCCTCGATCGCTATCATATTCGAACAAAACGAACCAGCTCGGCAAGTTACGAAGAACGGTGGTGGTGTCCTGTCGAAGGTTGGTTCGCAGCAGTCCAAGTCGCCAAACGTTCGGCGTGTCAATATTTGACGGAGTGTTTAGGACGTCTGGCGTCACGACGCGACGCCACGCGTGGATAGCCAGACAGGACGAAGGTCCTTCCACCATTAGCCTGTCCCCGAATCTCTACACTGGT